AAAAATACAAAGCCTGGCTTGTTGCAAAGGGATTTCTCCAACAATTTGGAAAAGACTACTTTGAAACCTTCAGTCCTGTTACTAAACCTGTCACCATTCGTATCATCCTCTCAATTGCTCTCTCCCAGAATTGGCAACTACGACAACTGGATGTCAATAATGCCTTCATTGCAAATATTACGTGAGATGTTAAGGAGATATTCACTTGCTTTTAATTGACCCAATTTCAATATTATATCTTTCATATATCATATATTATATTTTTACAGATTACAGATTATTATATTATCATTAGAATAGAAGATGATAGATGTGCTTATTTTATTTAAAGTCCTGGCTTTAATAAGCATAATATACATTGTTAATATTATCATTGAATTTGCATATCACTAAAAATCTATTAAAAATACAGAAAAAGCACTATTTTTCTAAATTTATATAGTAAATTAATAAACTTTTAAGATTTTCTTTTCACTTGGCCAATAAAAAACTAAAAAATTTCAGTAACATATATTGAAAATACCTCTATGTAAATATAGGATCCCACAGAAAAGTTACTCAAACATAACTTAGACAATTTAAATAAATATAATTCTAATATTGTTTGATTTTCTTAAATATAAAAGTAGTTTTGCTCATAAAAGTAGTTTTCTAAGCAGGGACAAAACAGTGACATTTGTTGCAATTTTTTTTACAACACATAATAACACAGCAAAACATTGTACTTTCCTTTTTGAAAAATGTTAAAAAAATCATATTTTTATAAAGTACAATGCTATTTTCTGCATATTTTCTAAAGTTTTGTTGTTATATGTCATTTTTCTATAAAAGGACCAAAATGCCCTTTATCCAAAATAAAAACAAAAAATAACCTTTTCTTTTCTTTTTAACCCACCATTTGCACATATCACCTTTAATATACGATTCTTCTTGCCATTGCATTAACGAAACAGGATCCCAAAATACCTCTGTGTAAATATAGGATCCCAAAGAAAACTTACTAAAACATAACCTAGACAATTTAAATAAATATAATTCTAATATTGTTTGATTTTTCTTAAAGTTAAAAGTAGTTTTGCTCATAAAAGTAGTTTTCTAAGCAAGAAAAAGAAACAGTCACATTTGTTGCAAATTGTTTTAGAACATATAGTAACACAGCAAAACATTTGTACTTTTCTTTGTTAAAAATGTTAAAAAATCATGTTTTTATAAAATACAATGCTATTTTATGCATAGTTTTCTATAGTTTTATTGTTAAATTTCATTTTTTTTTATAAAAAGACTAAAATGCCCTTTATCCAAAATAAAGACGAACAATAACCTTTTCTTTTCTTTTTAACCCACCATTTGCACATATCACATTTAATATTTTTTTCAAATCGGGTGTAAAAACTTCACAATTTGCTAAAAGGTCAAATATGCCCTTTTTATATAATAGGACCTTGTCTACTATTCCAGGAAACATGTTCTTAAGAAAAGACGTCACTGGAATGAAATTCAGTTACATTCCCTTGTATTTGTTCTGTTTGTTTATGAAACTGTCAACAGGGATACAAGAATCATGGACCGTGAAAGAAAGTCATGAAGATTTAAAATGTTGAATAATAAGAGAAAAAATTATATGTTCCAAACACTAAATATTAAAATCCAACGTAAAACATAACACGAATGAATATTCATAGTGTACCAAACAATAAATATTAAATTCTGAAATAAAATGCAAGTAGAAGTAAGGAAATATTAAAAAAAATGTCTCAGAAAATAGCATAGAGTAGCAAAGTAAGATTGAAGTTTTTATCTTCATAAACAGGATCACTTTTCCACTTTAGGAATCAACAATTTTGTTGTTCCAACAACTTTGGCATCTCCAATACGGGGTGCATTAGGTTTCGTTGCTGATTCATAAACGTCATCATCAAGATTGTAAACATCTACAAGTTTACGTTTGGCACTTGTAGGTGGTGAATTGAGGTTGTCGGCTGTTCTTGATGATGGAGTTGTACAAATGCCAGAGGGAATATTCGACACAGGAGTACTATCAGCATTGTGGGAAGTAGCATCCTTAAATTAAAGAAGAAATAATGTTCATTTAGTAATATAAAGGATAACATATATAAAAAATGATGTTGTATTATAGCTTACCTTACAACCCACTGTGTCTTGAGATTCAAATTCTGAGCCAATTATATTAACAGATTCAGTATCCATGTCCTATAAAATATGTATAAAATAAAAAGTATGTTTGGTTAAGGAATCTAGAAAATAGTATTTTCAAAATATATATGTTTTAACTTCTTTAACTTGGTGTATTTTTACCTGTCCAATCCTACATTTTTTCTCAATCTTTTCCAAAGCAGAAATAATGTCAACATTTTCTGTTATTTTGGAAATGTTGTAAGTACGACCAAATCTTGAAAAATTAAATGTCTTGACAACAATCTTGAAAGCCAATTTTTTGTTGATCATGACATTCAACTCAATAGGAAACTCACTTGTATTGCCGAACTACAAAAAAAAATATTAATAGATAATAACAATTCAATTGATTGTGTTGATTGGTTTTGCGCATGTATGTATGAGGTTTTTGTTGGATTAGGGTGTCTAAGTCGGTAACTAAATTGATATATTCTTGTAATTAGAAGCAAAGTCCTTTTTGGGTTGCCCTCATAAGTAGAACTTAATTATAATGACATTTATAGAGAAATGATGATTTATTAGATTATTATATGATTAATAAACTAACTGGAAATTATGACGAAATGATTTGTTAATATATTATATGATTAATATATTAATTGGAAATAGACAGTAGGTTTATTAATTTATTATGTGATTAATAAATTATTATGAGATTAATCGTTAAAATAATTCTTTTGTTAATTTATATGGTTAATAAATTGATATGAAATCAATTAGAATTGATTAATTATTAATCAGAATTAATCTTGAATTAATTTACGATTAACTGGAATTTATTAAAGGTGCAAGGGGTGAATTGTAATTGTTCAATAGTTGAACAAAAGAAGCGATTCTAGAACCATCCAAGGGGTGGACGGTTTTAGGAGCCTCCTTAGGGTTTCCAGAAGCCTCTTTGATGCATATAAGGAAATGATTTGGATTTGGATTAAAATCTATTCAAAACTTGCTTGGTCCCTAAGTTACCTAGACTATAAATATTACCCCTTATGACCTTAATTTCGTTCATGCACTACCCATAAAGCCATAGGAACAAAATTTTCCTCCCCTCCTCCCTCCTCAATGGTCTTCTAGTTCTAAGGTTTGGGTGTGAGCCATTAGAGGCATCCAAGCTTTTGGTGCTTGTTTTCTAAGGAACTTCAAGAGGATTTGATTTGATTATTTTCAATAATAGTCAAAAGGTATCTAACCCTAATCTTTATGTTAATTTCGATTTTCATATTCTCTCTCTATGGTTTTCTTGATGTTCAAGGTTATTTCTATCAATAGAGAAAACCTAGATCCTTTCTAAGTGCATGTGAACTTAAAAGTTTAAGTGTTTTTCTGCCACATGATTTTTTTTTAACCTAGCAAACTCAACAGTGGTATCAGAACCTTGGTTTTCTAACTGATTGTGCATAATAGTGAACTGTTCAAAATTAGGGTTTATGGAAATTAAACCTTAATGGCCTTAAATTTTCGCAAAAGACTTGGGGTTCTTGAGACCTTAGCCTCCACCCCTATTTTCGAAATTGCTAGGGTTTCTTTTAGGGTTTATAGTTTCCTTAATTATAATTTTAAATGCCTTAAAATTTGGATAATTAAAACCTAGTAACCCTAATCTCTTTATTTTTTAAAATTAGAAGGGTTATTGGTCCATCACTGTCAAGGTCCTCAAATCTTTTTCGTTTTGTTCATATTTGGGTAACTAATTTTTTTGTACACATCTAGGTAACGAACTTGTTGAAAGTGTTCACATCTAGGATGTGGCCTGCTACAGCCGGTCATAATAGTCATATGCGAACACTTCCAATAAATTTGGTACCTTAATGTGTACAAAAAAAAATAGTTACCCAAATGTAAACATACCGAAAAGTTAATTACCTTAGCAAGTCATTTTCCCTTTAAAAAACTGTATATAAAGTAATCAACTTAAGAGGCTTTGACAGATACAAAAAAGAAAGAAAAATCATAATATTTTTTTTTCACAAAAATATTGGAGATTACAACACGTGAGACACATACACACGCCATTGTCTGGTGGGGTATTAACACACAAATTCCTGGTGGGTTCTTCACATTAAGGCATTAATTATATCATGCTTTCCTATAGCAATCGCACTTCCATTCCCATTTCGTATTGAACAGATGATAGGCTTTTTGTAACAGTGTGAAAATGATTCAAAACTAATAGGCAGGTCCTTTCATTACATCAACTTTCTTTTAAAAGAGAACTGTAAAAATATAGTTTGGCAATGCAGAAAGCCATATATATACAAACACACATAGATGCATACATGCTAGATGATTCTGGATGAGGTAGCTTGTTTAAAAGAACTATTATATGCATTATGCAGATTGGATGGCAGGCCTAAATGTTTTTTCTTTCGGTACATCAATTTTCCTTTTTCAATAGTTTTCCTAATCAGCTAAATAGAATGAGCACATCAGAATACTCTAATAAACATATTGGATGACAGATTAAGAATCAGCTGTTTTCTAACAAGCTTAGGTTCTTATCTTCAACTACCATTCTTGCTTCTTGTAACCCCAAACATGGACCTCTTCAGATAAAACACAATGGGTATATTAGGTATTTGACTGGCAAAACAAACTAGTAATTCTACAAATATTTGAAAGGCTTAGTGGGGGCAGTTGATTCCAATTCTTCATCATTAATCTGCCTTACTGTTTGCTCAACTCAAGCAGGCCACCAATTTGAGGTCACACACTTAAAATCATTCATCTGACTATATAAACCTTCTAGGGATCAGTTTATATAGGCATCAATACAATTTAAATTCATCAAGATTTTCATTGACATTATGAATCCTTGTCTTTTTCCATTTTTCTCACTTCTCTTGCTACTGATTGTGACTACAACTGCCAGCCAATTGGTAGCCACCGGAAAAGGAGGAGGTGATGCAAATGCAAATGGTGTTGTTAACAAGTGTTTGAATAAGGAGAGACTTGCTCTCCTTCTTTTCAAGGCTCCCCTTCAAGACCCTGATGGTAGTCTCTCTACATGGACAGCCGACGAACGTGATTGCTGTGAATGGAGTGGGGTCACGTGCAACAACCAAACAGGTCGTGTCACGGAGCTTGATTTGCAGTACTATAATCTCGGAGGTGAGATTAGTAATTCATTGCTTAATTTAAGCTACTTAAATCATCTTGATCTTTCCCAATATGTAAATTCTTTCCATGGAAACTTACCCACCATCATTGGTTCCATGACCCGATTAAGTTACCTTAACCTCGAATTCAATAATCTTTATGGAACCATTCCCCCAGAGTTTGGTAACCTCACCAACTTGCAATACCTTCATCTTGATTCTGTTGGAAGGTGTAGTGTTGATAACTCGGAGTGGTTGTCTCATCTGCAGTCCCTGAGAATGGATGGGAATGGGATTTCCCTAGCCAAACAAAATCACTGGGTAGACGTAATTCGGAGTCTTCGGAAACTCTCATTTTTAAGTTTAGATGGATGTGAGTTGTCACAGGTCATGTATCCATATTATTCATTTCTCAACTCATCTTCATCAATTGATAACCTCTCTCTCCAAAACAGCAATCTGACCTCATCCATGTATCCCATTAACCGGCAATAAGCTTCGCATTCTTGATCTCTCTGGCAACATATTAGATGGGATACCCAAGTATCTTGGTAACCTCTGTAGTCTGAAAACTTTGTATTTCGATGAAAACTCTGCTGTTGTCAAATTTCCCGATTTTCTTGACAACTTGTCTGGATGCACATCACTTGCATTAAAAGAGTTGGATGCTTCTAATAGCCAGTTTACAGGGTCATTGTCCGATGACATCTGAAAGTTTTCATCCCTAGAATCTCTGTACCTATCTTATAATCACTTAAATGGAAGTATAAGTGAGAAACTGTGGGAACTATCGGGGCTTGAATTGCTTGATGTTTCTTTTAATAATCTTACACTTCCTTCTACATATCACTTGTCAAGCCTTTCTTATGTAAAAGTTATTGATCTGATGTCCTGTAAGATAGGGCCTCACTTCCCAAAATGGATTCAAACACTCAAAAATCTTGTCGTTCTTGATCTTTCCAATACTGGAATTTCAGACACAATTCCTCTGCAGTTTTGGGACATGTGGGCTTCTCCTTTAACATATTTGAATCTTTCTTCCAACAATATTAATTAGCGGGAAAGTATCAGATTTATCATCATATTTTGCCGATGAATCTATCATAATAGATTTGAGTTCCAATAGCTTTTATGGTCCAATACTGAATGTTCCTTCCACTTTGTTTATATTAAATCTTTCCAGAAAGAAATTCTCTGGAGGGATCTCCTTTATATGCCAAATTGTTGATGGGTTCTTATCATTTCTTGACCTCTCTCATAACTCATTAAGTGGACAACTCCCCGACTGCTTGTGGCATTTCAAAGAACTACAGGTTCTTAATCTCGGACACAACAATCTATTATCTATTTGGAAGGCTTCCTCCCTCTATTGGATCTTTGATAGAACTTAAGATTTTGTATTTATACAAGAACAACTTTTCTGGAGAATTGCCTTTGTCTTTAAAAAACTGCACCAACTTAAAGTCGTTGAATTTGGGGGCCAACAAGTTTTTTGGTAATGTGCCTGTCTGGATTGGGGAAAGTTTATCAGGGTTGTATGTTCTTATTCTAAGATCAAACAACTTATCTGGAACCATCCCGTTACAGTCATGTCAATTACCAAATCTTCACATTCTGGACTTGTCAATGAATAATCTCCATGGAACCATCCCCTCATGTTTGAATAATCTTAAAAAGCATGGTTCAACAAGGATTCTCCCAAGATGTAGAGCTTCATAGAAAGATAAGAGGCAGGGTGTATGGATGGGGGGCAGGCATATATTGCATGACCACGCAATGATTGAGTGCCAAGGAGATGAACGTGAATTCTTTAGCACTCTGAAATTGGTGAAGAGCATTGACCTATCAAGCAATAATTTAACAGGAGAAATCCCATATGAAATTTCCAATCTTTATGACTTGATTTCCCTGAACTTGTCAAAGAACATTCTATTTGGAGAGATGAAAAAACTTTTGACTTTGGATTTATCTAGAAACAGATTATCAGGGCAGATACCATCAAGCATATGTCAGATGAGCTTACTGAATTACCTAGACGTCTCATTTAATAACTTGTCAGGGAAAATCCCATCTAGCACTCAACTCCAGTCTTTTGAACATTCAAGATATGATGGGAACACACGACTATGTGGACCTCCTCTTACCAAAAATTGTCCTGGAGATGAAGAATCTAAAGCACCACCTCTTACAGGTAAAAGTAGGGGTGATGGGGAAGACACAGATGAACTCTGGGGATGGTTTTATATTGGTGGGGGCATGGGTTTTGCTACTGGATTTTGGATAGCTTGTGGCGGCCTACTTCTCAACCGTCGAGGGAGGCGTGCTATTTTTCAGTTTTATGAGAGTTTCAGGGATTGGGTTTATTTGAAGGTGGCGATGTTAATTGCAAACTTAAAAAAGGCTAGACACACGTAGTTTGTTATCTACTGTTTATTTTTGACTTCTTATTTTCCAGAATATAATGTAATTTGGCAAGGTTTTTGAAGTCCCTGATATCAATAAATTTGCCACTAACACCATGGGTGGCCATTTTCCGTGTTTGTATTTAATAATAGCTAGCATTTCTGATTTGTACCCTGATCTTTCCTTAAACCAACTAAGAAACCTACTAGTTTTGTTCAAGGAAGAATATGGAAACCCACAAAACATTTCATTAGATATTGTTTCGATTATGAACTCTAGTTTGTTTTGTATGAGACATCTAAAAAATTTCAAATTATGTTGTTTGTATTTGGTAAACTGGTGGTGTAAGATATTTTAAATCTTTGGATTGTAGATATGTAAAATGTTTTAGATTTAAATTTACTGTTTTTGTTTTATTGTATACAAAAAATTTATTCTATACAAAAATCTGGGAAATTAAACAAATCACAGGGGCATGGCTAAAAGTTGTAAAATCTGTGCAGAACCTATAAGGACGACTTATCGTCTCTATAGGGATATGTATGGCGACAAGAAGTCATTGCTATAGGTTCACCTACGGCGACAACAAGTCGTCCCTATAGGGGTTGCTATGGCGACGACAATAGGATCTAAAGCGACAGAACTATGGCGACAAAGCCTATGGCGACGACATGTCGTCTCCAAGGTCTATAGTGACGACTTTGCACCCTATGGTGACGACTTTTGTTGTCCCCATAGGTCTTTAATCTTGTAGTGTGAAAAGTTCATATATTCGTAGAATATAAAAACAAGATGCAATTAGAGGTGCACACAAAACCCAACTGTTTTAGAAAAAAAAAAGGGGGGGGGGGGGTGATGCAAACTGATTTTGTTTGAAACCGAACCTTCGATTTAGTAATGGCACAATTATTAAGAGATAAAGACTTAATGCCAAGCCTGGAACAATAGTATAAGGACTTGAGTGAATCCTACTTACGTAATAACTAGTCTCAAATATATTTGTTTATGCTTTCCTGACTTCAGTAACCTTTTACTTATGTTATTAAAAAAAGAAGAGGAATAGTCATTTCTCAACAATATAATAATTAGCAAAATGGATAAGTGTCATCATACTATTTTAGTTTGGATAAAATACTTTGCTCACAAGAAAGCCCCACAATATATACCATTGTAATTGAACTTTCAAATGTATTTAATATCATGCCAATAACTTATAACTCCCAAAACTAGTGAAAGATCTTTTTAGCAATGCTCATTATGCTATTACAGTTCTCTTTTAACATAATGAAATTACAATGACTGCAATCTACTGATGGTTTTTTTATAGAGAATCAGAATCTAATTGATTTTAGAAATAAATGGGCGTCAAAGTAATATGGCTGTTGGATTCCATGTAAAAGATTTGAGGGACGACAACATGATGAGCTTTGTGACTTATATCTGAACAAGACACGTTCAAGTTACTCAAATTATATGTGTAAGAAACTAACAATAAGAATTACACCCACCTCAACACAAAAAGGCATTTCTTCAAACAGTCAGTGGTCGCAAACATACATATTCACATCATTTTGTACATTTAATAAAGAAAATTCTAGATAAACAACATTTAAGAGAAAATGGTAAATGAGATTAAAATCTACAAAGTTGCTAACCTTGAAATGTTGATTCTAGATGAAATGAAAGTTTTGATAACTACAAAATGATAGAAGTCAATGGACTGGAGCTTCACACTAGTACATAAATGACTTTTACTCAAACACTTTTCAAAACAGGGTGTCGCTATTTTGATTAATTGTGTCACTAAAGGTCATTAATGAAATTTCTGTAACATTTTAGTCACATATTTACTAAAAAGATGTTTGGAAGATGCAAAAGTTCTTTTCAAAATAACTTTTTGTGTAATGCTTGTGTTTTTAGGCTAGGCATTAATATTGACATTATAGTCTAGGTTAACCTTTGTAACTCATTTTGAAGAAATGAAAAGGAATTATGTGAATATTATGTGAATTATGTGTTTTATGCTTAATTATTAGGGTTTAATTAATTAAGAATAAAAAATGATCGTCAAAAATAAATATTAAATAAAGCTGATATCTATTAAGAAACTTGTAGTGGCGTGACAAGGATTACGGATATATAAAGAATACCGAAATCCGAGTTATAACGAAGAAGTTATTACATGTCGAAGTTTCGCGACAAAACCGGCACGGGGCCGAATGTCGTAAAAAGTGAGTTTTTGATAAACTACTTTTTGGCCTTAGTGATCTAAACAAGACTTGTAGTGTTCGTTAAACCGAGAGTAGGTATAAAAAGAACGCCCAAATCTGACTTCGTATGAGGAAGTTATGATTTTTCGAAGTTTCAGCTTAGCAGTAGACAGCTAAAAAACTCGAATTTTAGATCGAGTGATTTTTAGCCGACACGACCTAAACGAGAATCGAAGGTCTCGTCATTTGTAGCACAACGGTAAAAGGACAGACGAAAACGGACGTCGGATGAAGAAGTTATGAATTTTTAACGGATTTCCTGTCCTGGTCTGTTAAAAATAATAATATAAAAATTAATGTCAAAATTAGCCGACGAAGTCTAAACGAAAGTTGTAGAGCGTAATTTGACCTACGAGTGCATATAAAGAACGTCAAAAACGGAGCTCGTATGCGAAAGTTATGGATTTTAGAAGTTTTGGCGCGAAAACCGAGAAAATTCGCATAGGTGGCTTCGGCCACGTCACCTTCGCTTAGAACATGCCACGTGTCCGGAATATGGCTGAGTCATCCGAGCTGCTGAGTCATCCGAAGCGGTCCAGTGAGAATTCAACGCGTGTCCTCTTCCTCGTGTCCGAGCCTTCGCATGATGCCACGAACCCACCCTACCTCGGACTAGACCTCGGTCCAATCAGGAGGTGACACCCAGGCCCTCGCATGCGCAGCCATGTGCGAGCCACCTGCGAGCCTTCGGATCTGCTGACGCGTGGAGGCTTCTCAGCCATTGGATCAGCAGCTTCGGACTCCTATATATAGAGGGCTTGCGAGCCTTCTCGGATACATTTGGAAAATCACCATCTTTCACCCCTTTCTTCATATTTTCTTCATCTTAACATCCCCCAAAGCCCCGGTATCGATTATAACCCCCGGAATACGCCACGAAGAGCCCGAGAAACCCGGAAAATTTATCTTTTCGGTTTCGAAGCCCGACCCTCGCAGAGCCCAGTTTCTGAATAAAACTCCCGGTTTTATTAGAAACGAACGTTTTAGGAAACGAATTGTTGCCCGATTATCATCAAATCAAGTGAGTGTATAGTCACTT